GAATTCCTCATATCAGTGAGGTCATATGATACATGTCTTTCTCTGATTGACTTATTTCGCTCAGCATAACACCCTCCAGTTCCATCCACGTCGTTCCTAATGGCAAGATTTCATTCCTTTTGATGGCTGCATAATATTCCATTATATATATAGACCACATCTTCTTTATCCATTCATCTGTCAATGGACATCTTGGCTCTTTTAGATTTATCCAGCCTCTAAGCTTTACCTAACCAGGACTAAAAGTTCCATTCCAACAGCTCTCACTCTGAGGAGAGCACCCAGCCCTGCAGTGAGGCTTCTTAATGGAGGAGATAGCACTCATTATTAGGTTAGACCTTTCAACTGCTCTGGAACAGGCCACTGCACAAGACAAGACTGCCAAAACATTCTATATTTAGTTTCTCAAATGCTATTTATTTAAACATGTAATACCAATAAGGCAGTGACATTTTTAGTCTCATACAGAAGACGTGTAAAAGGTGGTTTATAAAACAATTCTCACGCAACAGTGAATAACGAAACTGCCATGAACACACAGACCAAGCCTGAGGGTTGGTAGGGGACCAATGACCCTGAATAGAGCCCAGAAGCAGCCTCACTGTAGCAGATCCTCATGGAACTCAGCAACTTGAGAGCATCAGCTATGATAAAAGAGCCCCGCTGGTCTATGTCCCACTGACCGGCACCTTTGCCTGACCGGGTATACTTTGCTAAAATATGTGTACTCCCAACTGAAACAACAAGTGATAACATATTACCTCTTTGCTGTCAGTCTCTGAAAATCCTAATTTTTCAGCATCTTCTTGGGCAGCTTCTTTCTTATCTGGTTCTTCCATGAACACAGGTTTGTCCTGGAGGATCCACTTTCTGTACACTTGAACTACCTTCCTTGTTACAGCTATGTCACAGGAAGGCAACAAAAATGCCTAAAATAAGAAGAGAAGACTCCCTTTAACTCCACACCTGCTTAGATCACTGTAACACGCACATAACAGACATTTCCAATCACCATCACCAATTTCAGACTTTCCTCTGAAACATACAGGGCCACATATTTTTGTGCACACCAAACTTGCTGAGGAAAAAAGGCATTTTCAATTGGGCCAGAAAATGTCATGCAATTTAAAAATAACTTCTGCATTCTGAATAGTTTTTTCACAAAAATAGCCAACATGCACACCTACACAGATACTTTAATTGGCTATACAGACAATAATAGTTACACAACTGGGAACCTTTCCCAATGAATTAGAAATTGATTATAAGACAACAGACATACTACTGCAGCCAGCTGCAGCCAACTGCCACACCTCTGCCCAATCCATGTTCAGGGATGTTGTGTAGGTGACAGAGGGAGTATTTACACCACAGAAGTTGACAAATGCTAATAACTGGAGCCTTTCTTTCTTTTTTTTTTTTTTTTGTCTTTCTCTTCCTTCCTTATTTCCTCCCTCCCTTACACCTTCTCTTCCCTTTCTGAGAGCCAATATTCACCAGCATACCAGTGAGTAAAGATTGTACTCAGGTGTTCTGTACTCACTGGTATGCTGGTGAATGTTGGCTCTCAGAAAATACATTAAAGAGAGTCCCAGGCCAGTTGTAGCATTGTGCACATTTATGCGAACTTTTTTATTTTTTTTGAGATTTTTCAAATTTATTTTAGAGAGAGAGAGCGAGCATGTGCACAACAGGGGAAGGGGCAGAAGGTGAGGGAGAGGGCAAGCGGACTCCAGCACTGAGCACAGAGCCTGACGCGGGGCTCAATCCCATGATGCTGAGATCATACCTGAGCCAAAACCAAGAATCAGACTTTAGCCAATTGAGCTACACAGGCACCCCATGAATTTAACATTAAAGAATCTCTTTACACATATGCATGTAAGAATTCTGATTTAATGTAAGATTCCAAAAATATAAGCCAAAAGGTAAAGGAGAAATGTATTTGCCTTTTGAGTATCAGATCTAAGGAATATTTCTGTCTGAGGGGTAAACACAAAGGAAAGGAACTCAATACTACAGGAAATGCTTTCATTCCATAGATGAGGAATTAAGCTGAGGCTCAGAACACCTGAGATATTTTCCCAAGGTTACAAAGTAAGTTAGTGATGATTCTAGGTCTTGAGATCTCAAGATTCAGAGATTTAATACTGTCCTTAATGTTCATGCCACAGGATCCAATTACAGGCAGATTTCAGTGTAACAAGGGTTCATGCAATATATAAATTTCCATCGATGTTGCATCAAATTCCAGAATAGAGGAGTCTGTGTTATAACAAGACTGTAACATATCAATGTAACAAATATTCTGACTTGTATCTCAAGAAAGATCAACAAAGACAGAGTATGACAAAGTACAATGGTGTCCCACTCTAATTTTGTTCCAAATTCTATTACAAATATTTTCACACATACAAAAAAGTAGAAATACTTTAAAGTGATTATCTATATACTGCCGCCTAGATTCTACCATTAGCATTTGCTAGATTTGTTTACCACATATCTGTCAATCCACCCCTATTTATCCTTCTTTCAATCCATCTTATTTTTGATGCATTTCAAAGAAACCTGCAGACATCAGTACATTTCACCCCTAAATATTTCAACATGTGTATCACTGATTAGAGTTCAAAATTTTTTATGGTACTTTACATAAAATTTATAAATAATGAAATGCACAAATCTTAAGTGGACCATGTGATGAGGTTTGAAAAATGTAGACAATGAGGTAAATCGAGGTATATCATGTTATCCTCCCCCCAGGAAGCAAATAGAAATTTTCTCTGTAGGAAAATAAAATCATAGTAAAACCCAAATTATTTGTACAAACTGGTTAATATTATGTAGCATATTAATTAAAAATCAGAAATATGAGAAAAGAAGTCAATATTAACAAAACCATGATAAAAACCAGACAATACTTTAAACACACAGGAAATCAGGATAAAGAAAGTTTCAAAAAGAAATGTAAATGGAATTGAAAAATGAAATAACCAAAATTAAAAACTCAGTGTGTGTGGGTTGACAACAGAATGGACATGGCTGAAAACTGGATGAAAAATCCGAAGGAAACACCCAGAATGAAGCACGGCAAGATGAAAGGATGGCTAACTCAGAAGGGAAGGCAAGAGAGAGAACACAATGAAAAGCTGATCTTATGCATGGCTGCAGATGCACAAGGAAAGAAGATTAGCAAAAAGGGGCAGAAATGATACTTGAGGAGAGAATGGCTGAGAATTTTGCCAAAATTGGTAAAAGATGGCAATCCACAGATTCAAGAATCACAAACACAAGCAGGGTAAATACAGAGTATATTGCAGTAAAACTGCTGAAAACCAAGAACAATCAGAAAATCTTATAAGCTTCCAGAGGAAAAAAGAGACATTTCCTCCAAAGGAGCAACCACATGACCTCACATGACTTCTCAAAGAAACAATGGAACAAATATTCAATATGCAAAGAGAAAACAGCTGCCCATGTAGAATTCACTATCCAGAAAAATTGCACTTCAAAAACAAAAGCAAAATAGAGAAATTTTCAGATACAGAAATGAGAAAAACTTTTACCAGGACATCTAACCTAAGGGAAATACTAAAAGTTATTCTTTAGGCAGAAGGAAAATAATCCTGGATCAGAGATTCAGGAAGAGATAAAAATGCAATAAAAGGATAATTATTTGGATAAATCTAAATGAATAAAATGTAAATACGAATATATATGAATAAAAAGAATAAAACTGGGTAAAATAATAGTTACAAAAGAGATAATATATGTGTATATATATGAATAATATATATTCATAAGATGGAAGTCAAATACAGGTGGCCCTCAACTTACAGTGGTCCAACTTAGAAGTTTTCAACTTTATGATAGTGCAAAAGTAATGCATATTCAGTAGAAACTGTACTTTGAATTTTGATCTTTTCCTGGGCTAGGGATATGTAGTATGACACTCTCTGTGGTGCTGGGTGGTAGCAGGGGCTACAGCTCCCAGTCAACCCTGGGACCACAAGGATAAACAACTGATACAATTACAACCATTTTGTACCCATATAACCATTCTGTTTTTCACTTCCAGTATGGAATAATCTCAAATAATAAATTACATGAGATATTTAATACTTTAGTATAAGCTAGGCTTTGTGTTAGATGATTTTGCCCAACTTGTAGGCTAAAGTAAGTGTTCTGAGCATGTTCAGGGTAGCTGAGATTAAGCTATGACATTTGGTAGGTTAGGTGTATTAAATGCATTTTTGACTTATGGGGGTATTTCAACTTATGATGGGTTTATCAGGATGTAACTGCATTGTGAGTCGAGGCAAATCTGTACATAGCAGGGGCATATGAACTGAGAAGGAATAAATGGAACTGGAGTGTAGACCTACAGTGTAAAAGTTGAAATTCGTGCTAGATTTTAAGTTAGGGATGTTAACAATTAAAATATTACAAATGAGTATAAAAATACTAAGCTAGAGGAGAAAAATGGGATGCTAAAAACAACCAGCCTGAGAGAATTCAATACAATTAGAAAGCAGAAAGTAAGATAGTAAACTTAAACACAATTACAGTAGTTGTTATATCAACTGTAAAGGGAATAATGCTCCAATCAAAAGATAGAAATTGTAAGGTTTGATTTTAAAAACTATTAAAAAGACTATATGCCATATATAAGAGGACATCCAAAACATATGAATATGGAGAGATTGAAAGTAAAAAGTTAGAAAGAGATATACCATGCAAACAACTAGCCAAAAGAAAACTGGTAGAGCTATATTAAGAATAGGCAAGACTGGGGCGCCTGGGTGGCTCAGTCGGTTAAGCGGCTGCCTTCGGCTCAGGTCATGATCCCAGGGTCCTGGGATCGAGCCCCACATCGGGCTCCCTGCTCAGTGGGGAGCCTGCTTCTCCCTCTCCCTCTGCCTGCCTCTCTGCCTACTTGTTCTATCTCTCTGTCAAAAAAATAAATAAAACCTTTAAAAAAAAAAAAAAAGAATAGGCAAGACTGACTTTGAGGCCAAAAAAAAGCATTACTAGAGATAAAGAGGAAAAATTCTTACTGATGAAAGATTCAATTCAAAGGAACATACATTTGTGAATCTATACTAAAACTAATAATTTTGCCTCAAATATATACATACATATGTGTATGTATATATACACATATACATATATATAGCAAATACTGATAGACTTTGAAAAAAAAATAGACCAATCCACAGTCATAGTAGGATATTCTCAGTAACTTGTAGAACAGCAGATAAAAAATAATAAGGATAGAGGAGAGTGGAACTCATGCTTCCTACCTTCTCGCCATATTCTCCATATCTCAACCTCTCCTATTTTTCATCTTTGTCTCTCTGAGGGACACTCAGGATAATTTCTTCAGATCTGTCCATCTGTTTAATTTGTTCTCAGTTGTACCTAACCTGCTATTAAACTCACCCACTGAGGTTTTCCTTTACTATTTCAATATTACATTTTTTTTCATTTCTAGAAGTTTTATTATCTTATTATTCAAATCTGCTTAGTCATTTGTTACAATTTCTTGTTTCCTGGAAACATTTCCAAGCTTGTCTTTTATTACTTTAAACATGTTGAAGGTATTCACACTGAAAATTCTAGAAAAGTTTTGACTTACAAATTCCTAATTGGAAGAAAGGGTGACCTGAAATGATTATACCCAGCTAAACTGCTGTTCATGTGGAAAGGCAAAAGGAAAACATTCCTCATCACAAAAGAACTCAGGGACTAGAGCCTCAAGACACCTTCTTGAAAACACCCACTTGATGATAAAACGAGGCCATCCAAGAAGTCAATCAAAGCAAGCATGTTAGGACTGAGGACACCAGGAGGAAAGAGTCTATCTAAATTTAGAACCCAAACTAAACAATTCTGCACATTAGGATTCCAAAACTGACCACAAATAATGGTAAATTTAGGCTATCAATTTATAATATAATGAAATAAGTGGATGGGGAGAGGAGGCTGAAGAAAATACAAGGCTGATAACTTCTTCAGCTAGTGCTATCTAAAATTACACCATGGGGATAAAAGTGATTCCACCACCTTAATGTGATTATAATCTTCTCATTATAGATAAATATTTTAGTAGTTAATATTTCTTGTGGTAAAGAAATGTTTATTTGAATTTCTAACAATTCTGTTTCTCTTTATTTTCTTTTCTTCTGTTAAATTCAAATAAAATGAAATTCAGAGCTCTTCATTAAAAATACATGAAAGAATCATTAAGAATTAAAGATTCCATTGTCATGAAGTTATCTGTCAGTCTCTCAACCCCTCCCCGGCACTTCCACATACCTTCCCCTTGCCTCTGCCTTCACCTCTGTCAACCTCTGTCTGGTTTTACCTTCACCCGTCCAAGGCTGTCTGTCTGTCTGTCTGTCCATCTTTAACTGCCTGCTACATTCTCTGCACCCATGCACCCGTGCGTCTACACCACCCCACTCACCTCCACCTCTGCCAGCTGGCCTGTCTACCTCCACCTGTCTCATCTTCTACACCTGCCTGCCAGTTTGTTTATGTCTATCAGCTCATCTGTAAGCCTTCCTGTCTATCTGCCAGGCTGCTCTCTGTCTGTTTATATCCTGCCTTACCCATCTCCTCTCTGCCAGGCTCTTATCTGCTTATCTAGGTAGCCAGGCCAGCAGCCAAATACACACATATAGAAACACCTGGAATGATACTCTTCTAACATCAACAGTTGTTGCTTAATGGCAGTATTTTGAGTGATTTGCTTGAGACTGTGTTTATCTAATGAACATTCGCTTTTTTAAAAATAAAATATTCTTTAAAACAAAACCAACAACAAACAGAACAATGTAATCAACAAATAACCTTTAGAGCAGTGCTTTGAACTTTTCAGACCTATAACCTAAGTAAGACATATTACAGAAGCATATATGCATTTATATATAGTATATACATAAATAGTTTTAGAAGTTTCACAAAGAAATACTAATCATTAGAACATGCAGTACACTCTGAAATGTTTTGGTCTATTTTATTCTATTCCATTATTTAAAAAGCTTTTTTTTAAAGATTTAATTTATTCATTTGAGAGAGAAAGAGAGAGACAGAGCACAAGCAGGGGGAGAGGGAAAGGGAGAAGCAGACTCCTCGCTGAGCTGGGAGCCCAACGTGGGGCTAGATCCCAGAACCTGGAGATCATGACCTGAGCTGAACGAAGGCAGACACTTAACCAGCTGAGCCACCTAAGCACCCCAAAATACTGGCTTTTGATAAGTTGATTTCATGACCTAAAAATGGTCACAACAAGTAGTCTGAAAAACACTGGTAAGAAGACAAATTTCCAGCAGAGCGACCCCAAGACCAGAACTGGCCCACCTGAAGCCTCTACCACTCACTGCTAGCCTGCCTGCTTGGGGCAGCAGTAAGGGCTCGTTAGCCCTGCCACGAGCCTCTCTGCCCCCGGGGCCCCTCGTCAGCATTTATTTCCATGTCACACACGTGGACATCTGATCTGCCATCATGCACAGTTCTCGGGTGCACACACACACATCTTACCTCTCTACTGAGAACATGTGCTTCCTAAATGTACATTTTAAACTTGAATGGCCTTTAGGCCTAAATATTTAATAGTCTCTGAACACTTCAAAATTGAAAAAGAAATCACTAGGAAAGGAGTCACATTTTGCCATCCAGAAAATAAAAATTCATCATTGACCACAAGAGGGCAATAGAACACAATGTTAAAACCATGCCCCTACAAGCATCTCTACCTAGTATTTTAACTAGCACAACACTCATATTTTAAATTTCACATATACGCTTTCAAATTAGATTTGATGAAGAATAATGATAAAATGTAAATAAAATGTTTTTTGGCTTCACGGCACAAAGATGTCTCAGAAGTTCGGTCATAAGTAGTTTGCAGTTACCTCCGTGGCCCAAGCTACTTCAGAACTGAATTTAGAGCACACTCTTGCCAATAATGGATACAGACAGAACTGTCCGTATGATAAATTAACAATTTACACAATAGAGGTAAAACCACATCAGTTTAGTATGTATCTCGTGTGCAAAATTTATAAGCTTTGTCAATCATATCTAGTCTTATAGTAAGCACTGGCATCCAAGAGCTTAAAACATTGCTACAGATCAGGGTCTGCAAACTATGGCCTGTCATCCAAATCCAGCCTGCCAAGTGACTTTCATAAAGTTCTTTATGAACACAGCCATGTTTCTTTGTTAGGTGCTGCCCACGGCTCCTTTCTCACTGTGAAAGCAGAGCTGAGGAGCTGCAACCGAGCCCACATGATCAACAAAGTCTGAAATATTCTTATCTGCTCCTTTACTCTATATGACCCCTATCCTCAATTATATGCCCTCTAGGACCTTGATGATTTCAAATCAAATTAAATGGTTACCAAGTACCTTCCATGTGTACAACAGGAACCCAACAGGGCAACATTAATGAAGAGAATAGGGTAGATTTTTAAATCAGGGATTATGATGATAAAAGAATGTTTTGGCAGCATGACACATACAGTATAGGTTAGAAAGGGATGACATAGCAGGTGTGGGGCTCCAGGGAGCATGCTGCTAACCATAGTCAAAGGAAAAGGAGGGAGCAGGAGTGAGAAAGCCTCCTGCATGACTTGCCCAGTGATGGCTTACAGGAGGAGCAGGAGACAAGGAGCACAGGAGGGCAAAAATTAATACGCACATAAGAACACGAGTCCCATTAAAGAAGTGGTCAGGTCATGAGGAGAAGCTGATGTTATGGAAGAAACTAAGCTAAGCTTTCGCTTCATTATCATTAAGACACCACTAGAATATCAGACAAGATCACCAGTGGGCATTTCAAAAGGCAAGTGTGCAAACAAGAAGCAAGGTCCAGACAAAAGGCTTGACTGGGAGTCTCATGTCACAGAGCTGCTGGCTCTGCACAAGCAGTTGAAGGCCCTAGGGAGGCAAGTGTGGAGTTACAGAAGAAGAGGCTCAAGCCCAGAACCTTGGTTGACTCTTGGAATCTGGGGTCAAATAAAAAGGGGCCAAGAAATGAGACAGAGAAGACACAGTTAGGGAGTAGGAAGAACCAAGGCAGTGCTGAGATCCAAAACCAGAAAAACATTTTATAAGGGGAATTTTCATTGAAGCTTAAACTAATATTTTCTTAAGTCAAACATTTTTATTCATTAAAATACAAAATAAGGTAAAACCTCCAGATTGCTATGGATTACACTGGGACTTTCATTCTTGGCTGATTTCTCCTTAATGACAGTCTCCGACGTGAAGGGGTTAATCACTATCTAGAAGTCTTGCCCCTCCACGAAAAGCTCTTCATGGTGCGCATACACGGTTCACGTGTGGGCACAGGACTCCTCCCCTTCTCCCCACCAGTCATGGTCTCTGCCATTCATGGGCCTCACCCTCTGTGCAGGTGCCCAGACTCAAAAGCTACTCCCCATCACATTAACACACCCACAGAAGAGCCAGGCTCTGTCTCCCAGGGCACCAGTACCAAGAGGCAGGTGGCCAGTGGCTCCACCCCACACCACAGAGCTACTGTCTTTCCCTGCACCGCGGGCTCTGCTTCCTCTGTCCGAGTTTCTCCACAGCAGCACTACTGACACTGGGGCCTGATGTTCTCTGTCATGGGGTAGTGGAATGGAGTCCCTGTCCTGTGCCTATAGGAGAATCACTGGCTACTACCCACTAGATGCCAGTGGCACTGCCCTCTTCCCAGTTGTGACAACCAAAAATGTCTCCAGACAATGCCCAAGGTCCCCTGGGGGGCAGAGCCAGCCCGGGTTGTCGCTCAGGGCTGCTAATCGTTGCTGGCCTCTGATCTATCTCTGTTGTGTTCTTCCTCACTTGCACCCTCTTTCTTGTTTGCACTTCCCCTCCCTTTTCGCCCACCACAGTGTCCACCACCCGGCTGCTCTATCAGTGTCAGCCCTTGCTTTCCCCTTATTCCCCTCCCTTCCCAGCTTTTTCCTCTTATGTCATAAATACTTCTATCACACGTGCATTCCATGTGTGTTTGCAGGGAAAGTACAACCGTCTGCAGAGCCTCCACAGAGCTCCCTCGGACCCTCAGGACAACACCAGCCTGGGGCTCCTCTTTGCCATGTTCATTTGTTGATGAGTATTCAGCAAGGGCTTTCTTCCCACCTACCTCCGGGTTTCAAGTTTCTTATGGACACATGAGGGTATTTTGGGGATGATTTGCTCATATATAGAATTTCCCCTCCATGTGTAGAAATTTTACAAAAAAATCTTAAAAAATCATAAACATAATCACAACACTCCACATGACAAATTAAAAGCAGGATTAGAGGGATCATTATTCAGCCCTGCAATGTAGCCCAACTCATCAATAGTATTTCTTGCAGTACTATGAGCAAAAGAACATGAACAAAACTCTCTTCAATTTCATGAACTTACAACACACACACACACACACACACACTAACCTGACGAAAGACTTCATTCACAAAGTTGACATAACCTCGTGTTGACAAGAGAATCCGCTGCACCATTTCATACACAGTGCGGTGCTCTTCTTCAATGCTACAAAGGCTGGAGTTGCTGAGTCTTCGGTCGGACAAGGTGCTGCTGTTGGAATGGTTTTTGTCCTGCTCTGCAGGCCCGCCGCCATCCAGCTCTGCCGGCACCCTCTCTTGCCCCACACCACCACCAACAGTCTGGAAGAAAGCCATTACCACTTCTGAGTGAGCCTCTTTGACACACAAGAACACCCAGTGAAACTGAAGACTTGCTTTATTTTAAAGAACTCTAGTTACCATCAACTTGAAGGCAAGCTAGACACCAGCACTGCTCGAAGCACAAGGGGCCCCAGATCTGTACTCACCAATTTCCCAATTCACCAGCTAACCCCTTCCCAACTTGGTTATTTTACAAGGAAAACACTAAATTATTGCAGGGAGGGAAGCTGTGAAATTTTCTCAACCTAAAAACTTTAACTTATATTTGCAAAATCATAGTACAAATTGTGTCAATGAATTTATACTATGATCACCTTTGGTTTCTAAATTCAGCAGTTACTCTATGGTCACAGAGACTTGAAAGTTCAGTGGATTTTTTGCAGCCACAATGTTGGAAAGCATCATTTGATTCATGAGACTAAGTGACACCTGATGGAGGAGTGTCAAGATCTTTAGAGTGTATTTTATGAGAACAATCTTGATCTGAGTTTTATATTCAGAATCTCACATCGAACTTAACTGAAATACTTACAAAACGTTAAATATTTAGAAGGCTTTAAGAGCACAAAAAAAAATAAAATAATTCATGCAATGACTCACATGTTTATTGTGGATTTCTGCTCTCATCTCCCCATAGAATTAAAGGTTTCCTCCAAATATAATACACGTATAATTTTGCTTCATTTTTGTAAATTCCACTATCATTTTAAGTGTCAAAAATGTATAACCCAAATACCACTAAAATTCTACCCACTGTGAATATTTTTTACAACAAATGATAAGATATGAGTAGTACAAAATAGTGATTTCAGTAACTACCAAGGACAGTTTGAAAGCAGATATCCAAATAGCAATCTCTAGGGAAAATTAATGGAAGATTATATTTATAATAATTTTTCTCTTCATGCCTTAGCTACTAAGTCTGTGTGGCTTATCAAAGGTACTGATACTGTCAGATGAGCTGTCCTATAGAAATTATTTCATCCTTTTTGATGCATCAACTATCTTCATAGAAAAATAAAATTTTACTCATTTTTACTGACATATATATTTAATCTCTAAACTACGGAGGTTGGATTAAGTCTAATGTCTCTCTTATGGCTCCATAACCTGTGACTCTTTGATCAATAACTCCCATTCTCCCCCACAGGCCAAAGAAAGAGGGAAAAAAACCCCATGTACATATGTACATATATAGCAAATTAAAAATGATCACAAATTCTATGATTCCCCCTTCCCTTTGATCCACATGGGCTCTGTGACTGTGTTAACCAGTGAGTGGAATAGAGTGGAAGAGACCTGTGCCAGTTTCAGGCCCAGGTCCAAGAGGTTGACAGTTACCACTTCCCATCTCTTGGAATATTTGGTACTGGAGCTCTGAGCAGCCAGGGAAGAAGTCCAACGACCCTGTTAGAGAGGCCCAGCTGAGCCCCGCCTTCCAACTGCACCCATCAAAGTAACAGGCATGTGAATAAAGTCATCCTGAACCCTCTAGACCAACCAGCCGCCAGCTGAAGACCACCACCCACTGACCTTAGTTAACGCCGTATGAAGCACAAGAATTGTCCAACCAGATCCTGCCCAAATTTCTGACCCAAAAAGTATATGTAACACGACAAAAGGGTTGTTGTTTTAAGCCACCAAGTTTTGAAGTCATTAGATAACTAATTGAGTAACACAGCAATTAGGTAGCTAAAATAATGTAAACAAAGATATATGTTTAAAGGCACCAAGTAATTTTTAAAAAGTGCTCTGAACATACTGAAAAACAGAAACAGACCCATAAATACATAGAACAAACTGGTAAACAAACTCCTCCAAAGAGGAGGCAGTGGGTGAAGAAGCAAAATGGGTGAAGGACAATGGGAGACATAAGCTTCCAGTTATGAAATTAATAAATCGCGGGACGAAAGGCACAGCATAGGGAATATGGTTGATGGTACTGTATGGTGAGCATAGCATAACATACAGACTTGTCAAATCCTATGTTGTACACCTGAAACTAACATAACATTGTGTGTCAACTATACTTCAATTAAAAAAATCAAAATAAGTTTAAAAAAATTAAAAGTGAACTCTGTTATCCAAATAGGACATAAGAGATGGATTTCCCATCTGCCATAAACTGAAAACGACTTCTCTTGATAGAACGATGCTTTCCTTAGGCTTAGTCCCTACTCCCTCCACAGAAGGCTACTTTCTGAAAACATCTATATGTTTTGACAGACGTATAACTACAGTGAGTGATTAAGAGTGAACACAAACTGATAATCCAAGTTTCCTCATATCTTGTCTCTTTTATGAAGATTAACAGTAAAAGCATACATAAGAATTAACCACAGAGAGAGGTCCATTTTCCACCCACTACAATCAAGCTGGAATTCTCAACTATTATTTAGTATTAGTTGATTCTGGTGGCAGATGCAAAAATGGTTTTCACTTCTTTGGCACATGATGAAGCCTTAGTCTGTGGAACAGACTTATCAGCTTGGCCCAGGCCTGCACTGCAAGGGTTCAGGAAATTGCATGATACAAGCTGCCACTTAACCCTTCCCATCAACCCTCCCCAACATCTGGTTTCTTCTCAGACCTGTTCACTGTCAGGGTCAAGCTAAAGGGGGACACCCACAAAGCAGGTGTGAAACGAGAGGATGCAACCACCGTGCTGGTGGTGATGCCTGATGCCACTGAATGCCCCTGTCATGATTCTCCTACACAGTTGGGGGCAGCCTGTACTGCCTCGGTAGAGGTTCTGGGACACAGAAATTACTAGAGTGGGAGTCAACAAAAAAATTAATATACAAATTCCTAGAGGGTTGTCAATTTGTGGGATTCACTTTTTCTAACCGTTCATCCCACAAAATACAATTTCAGGAAACCCACAGCCCATGAATCATTATTGAAGGGTGTATTCAGACATAATAAAAAGTGTAACTAAGGGTTATCATACAAATATCATACAAAAAACCGGTATCATCTCAAATTTTTTTTCATTCCCAAATGGACTTTTATGGGTTTTAATGTCAATTAATATGCTTATAGAACTGGTAAAAAACGGTCACTGATGAAATCTTAAAATCACCACTCTGCTTTCTCTAATGTATGAAGTACTTTTATCTCATACAAAAAAGAATTACTAAGGACTAAACAATACTTCACTGAACACATTTTCAGCTGAAATGATGCACCAAGAATGTACAGCTTTGTTCAGGTTTATGCTGTTGTTGTCAACATAGTATACGGATGTAAGAGCAACTGTCTTTTCATTCTCCCATGAGTATTTGTTATACCAGATTCTACAAGTGGTAAGAAAACTTAGTCTAGAAGATGCACTAAGTCCTCTCCTCCCTGGTGAAAAATACTGTTAAAGGTATTAGTTTTAGATCCGGAAGCAAATTCACTTTGGAAAAAAACACACCAAAAAACCCCTCAAACATGACCTTTAATACAGTGATAAGAGCAAGTGTAAACTCCATTTGGAAACAGCACTTAAAATATTGTTTTGAAGGGCTTTTACAAGAGCAGTATATTCTTTGAAAAGAGATTTGGATCAACTGATTAAGTAATTCACTTTACATAGGCCAAATTATATTAAATTTGAAATTCCAAACAAAAACTTTCAGGAGACAAATGAAATTATATGTGCTTTTATTCCTACAACTCTGTCTCCAAAATCTAATATTCAATTATTTAAATTGCTGCTTTTTCTCATGCACAATGCAGATGAAGAGAAGAACACAGACACATGTGAGATGAAGTGGGAAAAAGAGCTGTGAAGCACAGAAGGGAGTACAGGAGCTAACTGATCAGCTGAATAATGACCCCCCCAAAGATGTCCATGCCCTAATCCCCAGAACCTTTGAGTATCTTACCTTACCTGGCAAATGGGATTTAGCAGGTGTGACTAAATTAAGGTGTGAGAGGGAGAGATTATCCTGGATTATCTGGGTGGTCCCAATGTAATCATGAGGATCCACAGGAGATAGGAGGATCAGACACAGAAGGCAATGTGAAGATGGAAACAGAGGGAGAAAAGGTGATGTAATGAAGGGCTGCAAGCCACGGAATGCAGGCAGCCTCTAGAAGCTGGACAAAGCAAGAAAATGGATTCTCCTCTAGAGCCTCCAGAAGGAACACAGACCTGCCAACACCCTGATTTTACCACACTGAGACTGATTTTGAACTTCTGACTTCCAAAACTGCAAGATAATAAATTTCCAAGCCACTGAAAGTTTGTAATTCGCTATAGCAGCACACCGTGAGGCGTACTGAGAGTCTATACAATGGCAGCAACCATTTCTGGGTATGGCCATCTGCAGGGTGTGGTAGCACTGGGCCTGGATAGTTGTCTGCCCAGCATCCATTCCCCCTCCCTAATGGAACCCCAGTGCTCCGTGTGCCTCCTCCCCTGTAGCGCAGGTGACTCACGGGAAGCTGGTCCCATCCACAGTACCAGGGAAGTGTTCTGTCATGGAAGCCAGTCATGTCCCTCCTGGGCCATTCACATAGCCAGCTTTAAGCCAGTTAGTGCCTTGTTATTGTTCTAGGAGAGACAAGTAACCTAGGTTGTCCCACTCAGACAAAAGGGAAGGGCTTTACAGAAAATATCTGGGTTGTCTCTGAACATGAACAAGGAAGCCAGTGACCCCACTGCTGGCAGCCATCTTATAATCAACAGGGTGTGGAAGAAAAACCTGCCAGAGGGAAAGGGCAGAGGAGGGAAAACTGTAGGGGATCATGGAGAGAGAGTGAATAAAAACCACATTCTCTGCCAGCCCTGCCTTGAGCGTCTTCTTTATGGGATTAAAATATTTCTTTTTTATCTTTAAGACAGTTTGAGTTATGGAGTCTTTTTCTGTTAGGATAATACAACCATCCAAACTGATTCAGGAGGTCAGACCTTTACGGACACTAAGAAAGCCAGGTAATAAAAGTAGATGACTCACAAGTGTGAATAACCAACTAAGGAAAAAAAACTAGAACCTTGAATCAGTGGTTAATCTACTATTCTTGCTACTTCTCATCATCCAAATGTATTTTTCAAGAATGAGAAACTTACTTTCAATAAATACAGTGATGGTTTTCTGAAATTTTGAAACCAGGTAGGAAAAAGTCATAGCCTTTAAATAGACTGTTTTGAACTGACTTAACAACCACACAAGATACAATGTAAAATTTATCCAAGTGTGACTGAGTTTCTTATATATGATTTCATACAAATTTTTGTCTACCTGATGGTTTTTACTTTTTGTCTACCTGATGGGTGAATAAAGGTCTCTCAACATGGTCCAGAACTAACGGTGTTCCCCGGCTCATAGTGAAATCCAGGGTCATTTTTATTTCCTCTTCTGTGAACTTTTCTTTCATCTCCTTTTGTCTGTTTTTCAATTGGACTGTTTGTCTTCTTATCAATTTGTAGGCATTCTCTATATATCAGAGGCATGAACTCCTTTAACAGCTCTGATGTTACAGATGCTTTTCACAGTCTATTGCCTACATGTGGCTTTACTCTATCTTTTGACATACAAACCTTTTTCAAATTTTTAAAATAAAGTGGAACCTCATTTCTTCTGTGGCTTATGGGTCTTACTTATCTCTACCTAAGGTAGCCTACCACTTCCCAAATTTATACATTCCCCTAGATTGTCCCCTAAATTCTTTATCATTTTGTTTTTATATTTAGACCTTAAATCAATTTAGAACTCAAATCAATCTGACATCTGTGATATGAAGCAAGGTTCTGAGAAAGAGAGAGAAAGACAGACAGACTGACAGTTCTTTCAGCCCTGAGGATTATAGATTAGATTCAATATTCAATGCTACTCTGTCTCATTTTCTAGAAGGAACTTGCGGTTTCTGTCTGGAACTCTGATAATTTTTTCTTAATCCCTGAAAGTCAAATAGGTTTATGTCTGTTTAGGTTTGTGTCTGTTTAGCTAATTCTCCCTGAGACTTGAAGGCCTTGTTAATCTAAGGCATGACTTTTTTTCAACTCAAGTCAATTTTGCATTTGTTCAAATTATCACTTCTGATTTTTTCTCCTTTTGTCCTCATGCCTTGCAAAGTAGGTCTGGACCTGACCTCGGATCATATTTATTCTTTTCTGATTTCCATCTCTTTGAATTTTTCCTTAGTGTTGTGGGATATTCCTTTTGAAAATCAATTTTGTTCTCAGCAGTGATCATTACTGTGTTTTACAGTTTACCTATTAGATTTTTAAACTAATGAATTTAAGGTTTTTTAAAGCTTTTTTTATTTTTTTAATGATTTTTAAAATTTATTCGACAGAGAGCAAGAGCAAGAGAGCGAGCACAAGCAGGGGGAGCAGCAGAGGGAGAGGAAGAAGCACACTCCCCACTAAGCAGGGAGCCCGCCTCGGGACTCCATCCCAGGACCCCGGGACCAAGACCTGAGCCGAAGGCAGACACTTAACTGACTGAGCCATCCAGGCACCCCAAAGCTTTCTTTTAAAATCTTCAGTAAGTCTTTTGTTGCTCTTACTGTAATTGTATTCCCCTCAGACTTCTTTGAAAATGTTTCTCCAGTTCTTTAGTCAGTTCTTATCAATGAGGACACGTGCTCTGGACCTCAGTTTGGTGCTCTTCCATCAAGATGCTAATTGTCACTCAGGTGTGTGCACTCTTCCAGCTAAGGCCTAGTCACGCTTCTGGGAACTCCAGGGCATCAGCAAACCTGCTCTAAGTGAACCACACTTTGTGCATAAAACCATGTCCCTGCCATGAAGCAGCTGCTCTCGAACCTCTCCAAGTGGTCCTGCTCTACCCAGTGCAAAGTCCCTAAGCAACTCAGCCTGCTGGGAAAGCCCTATTTGTCTGTGATTAAGGACCGCAAGAGAGGGAAGATACACCACAGGCCCCACACAGAAAGAGGTCTTTGGGGTGCCTGGGTGGCTCAGTCGGTTAAGTATCTGCCTTCAGCTCAGGTCATGATCTCAGGGTCCTGAGATCAAGCCCCACACTGGGCTCCTTGCTCTGCGGGGAGCCCACTTCTCCCTCTCCTCCCCACTTGTACTCTCACTATCTCTCCTTCTCTCTCAAATAAATAAATAAAATCTTTAAAAAAAAAAAGAAAGAAAGAGGTCTTCACTGAAGGCCTTGGAGAGAGACAGCCTTTTCTTCCAGGGATTCCATCATGGCACCCTGAAATCCTGAGATGCTCTTCTACTCCTTCCCCTGAGATACCAGAAGGGCAGTTGGCAGTCTCACGGGTCCTTCCCATGGCCCACCTACATGATTCCTGAGGGCCTTCCTGGTGCTGGGGGTTGGCGAAGGCAACACAGGCCCCTGGTCTTATGCTCTGAGGTCACTGTTACTTGAGCAAAGGAGGGAAAATGAGAGGGAGCCAGGAGTCTGCGCAAAATAGCCATCTTCTCAGAATGTCTCCCTGGCCCCCAAGATCGCCTGGTCATGCAATGTCAACAGAGCACTGCAAGTGCTACCTCAGAGCTCCCTCTGACACCTCAACAATATAGAGAGAGCCCACCAATAAAACCAATCCCAATAACCAACATCCTTGGAGAACCAAAATCCTAATAATCAATTACTTTGGTATGTGTTAGTGTATTCTTACCTATGTAAAAGATAAGAAGAAGATGAATGACATACCTGTATGATTTTGGGCAGTACATCAACTGCATTTTTAGTGTTTTGGGTTGTAGTTAGATACTTTTTTTCCAAAAAGAAAGTTACAATCCATTTAATAAAAACAACGCGAGCTGCCATGTATGGAATTTTTGTACTGTAAATGTTTTCATTGTCTCGAGCTGTAGTAATGTACACTGGCTTTGGTCTCAAATGGGGGATGTCTGGAAGAAAACAGAATACATGATTAGGTTAGTGAGTGTAACCCCCACAAATGATTCAGTTTCTAACTAAGCAGATATATATTTGGTCGTATGAATAGCAACTAAAATTAAAGAACCAGAAACTATTAAAGATGACATCTTTTGGTAGACTTGTTTCTGATTCTGCCTTGCAACCTGACCAAGATGGGACGGTGGCTACTGTTACTGTTTGCTTGTTACAGCTAGGGCATATGGCTATGGAAGTACTAAGCTAATAACTATTTTTAACAAATTTGAGAGACGATATGAGATTATAAGAGTAAAAATATTTTCACATACATTATAACATTTAATCTTATTATATGATTGAAACAAATCTAAAAGCATAGACATTTGTCATCATTTTAGGCATTTTATTATTTTTTAAATCATTTTAGATATTTTAACATCCAATACTACACTAATCAAATCCATGGGACTTTAGTTTTATATCCTTTTCCCTTTAGATGAATCCAAAGAATAGAATCAGTATAAACTACTTTATGTCTGAAAGAATTCATCTTTGAGGTATCGGACACCACCATTTCCAAAGGATTAATAAGAAGTCCCCTTCTCATTCTTTAAATTTCATAATCAATACAAAAAATTACATGGTATTGGATTCGAGCTACTACTTGTTGTATTTCCAACTCTCTAACTTTTATACACCTGGAGGTACCTGCATGAGGCAGACAAGTTCTCAACAAATAAATTTAAGTTCAGCATATTAAAGTATACTGTGTTTTCCACAGTGAATATAGACTATTTATAAAATCAGAAACAAATTCTGAAAACAATACCCACATATATATAGCTAACAAATACTTACTGCAGTACCTCTAAAGGTTAGTACTTCTACATCTTTCAAAATGTATCAAGCTTCTGCTATTTTCCTCTGATGCAAGCGTGCACACGTGTGTGTATATGTAAATAAACACCCAAGACAACTGAGTTAGTAGTCCACATTCCCCAGATGGATTAATGTCTGTTGTAAACTTTTCCCCTCCAAAATTGTTCCTGATTATTCATTTTAACTAATTTTGCCTGCTTTAAAATAAAAGGGAGAAGAAAATTCGCCTCCCCTCCCCAGCACCAATCTAAGGGATACTTCTGTCCTGTGAGCCTTCATTTTTCATGGAAGAAAAACTTTACCAGCGAAATTAGAAATTCCCTTCTGTTTCCTTCCTTTCTGGTTTCCCAGCTGCCCAAACATCGGCTCCTCCATAAGAAGCTGTAAGTAGCACCTGCTGCATGAAGATCCAGGATAAAAGAAAGGGCCTACTGTGGGCAGCTGTGTGGCCTGGGCTGGCCTGCCTCGCCACTGGGCAAGGCCTGGGGTCACCATACCCCACCATCCGTAAGAGAAGACTTAAGGAAATGCAAACTTTAACATCCTGGTGTGATATAATGAACACTGCCTTCAATAAACAGTTTCAATAAAATAGAGCCATTAAAAGATTTTAAATATAATTACACCAAAAAGAATCATGACACATGTTGAATTATTTCTAAGTACAGGAGCCCCAGTCCCCTTTATTGCTATTGGCTGAGGTACAAATACGTAGTTTGACAAATAGGTAAAATCATTTATTAGGAAACTTTAAACCTCTTACAATAAAGTTACCATTAAATATAAGAATAAAATAACTATTTTACTTAAAAATAAACAAAGGTCACTTTGAAAGAGAATGGACAGCTTCCCTATGGACATCCTCTAGACACGGCCCAATCAGTACTTACCAAGTACAGGTTTGTAGATGTTTGTTAACTTAGTAAATGATGGAAATAAATGAGGAAGATAATACTTTTGAAACAATGTAAGAAGAAATTTAAAACCAGTATCTTGATTCTCCTTATTCTTCCACTCCAAGCTTGCAGCCTTTGGATAATATGTGGGAAAGAACATATGTACATTTACATCTCAACTTAATGTCTACTAAACTGAAATGCTGTTATTGTATTAAAATTCTGATCCTAAATTAAAAAAAAATCATGCTGACAAATAATGTTGACAATCATGTAATGAAATTATATCTTAAAACTCAAACGATGACAAGAATGAATACTTTAAAACAAAAGTTAACTATGTTAAAGATATTTTGACTTAGTATTAAAAAAAAAATCACCCAATGATAGATATCATATGTTTTGAAACTTGCTCTACTCATCACGCCTGTATTTTTTTCCACCTGTTCTCTATAATGACTTAACATTCTTTCTGCCCTTAAAACATTTAGTCAGATGTAATCCGGTACTTTTTTTTTTAAACTCAAAAAGGGCCATTTATAATAAGCAGGAATTAAGGAAATAATCCCTTGCAAGAATTTCACCCAATGTTACCTATATGAAAAATCAGTATCATCAGAAGGCAAAGCTACAGAAACTTGGAAAGTGCATTGTCCTTATTAAATGCAATCCACAGGCTAAGATAAGCCAGGCCTGCCAGTCCAGCTACACCTGTCACGGGTTCTTAATACTGGTTAGAACACAGAGCACTCTAAAGCAGAGCTTCCCAACCTCCTTCATGACACATGCAGCCCACTTAGAAAGTGGAAACATTTGTGCAGCATCTGAGGTCAAGGGATGAGGGGCTTTGGCCGCCCCTGGGGCAGAGGGGCTCCGTGTTGGCAACCTGTCGGCAGTTCTCCGGGGTAAGCCAAGGGAGAAACTCTGCTCTGAGGACCCAGTAGAGAGAAGGGAGGGAAGAAGAGTGGGATGGACATGCACATACAAGTCTGCACATGATTCAGGGGGTTCACAGTCTGCATAAAAGTCCCCACCCTGTATTACCGGCATCCTTCCATCAGTGGGATTCTGGAGATTATGTGATATCTGAGGTTGCACAGCTCATTAGTAACACATCTAGAATGAGACCCAAGTGCCCCAACACATCCAACTTCTCGATACTCCATGCCAATCTCCAGGGACAGATGGATACCCTACCGCTTCTGAACAGGTAGAGTTTGAAATGCAGGTGGAATGGGCCAGTAGGGCCAAAATGCACGCTTCTAGAAGACAGCAGAATACTCCAGTCTGTTCTCGGCATTTTGGAATCCCTGTGTTTCTTGTGCTGGCTAAAGGAAATGGAAGAGGAGAGCAGATAAGATTGCCCAATAGGACAGAGTAGTCAGAAAGGGAGACAAGGACTGAATCTTGAGGGACAGCAGAAAGAAACAGTCCCCTAAAGAAAACTGGCCAAGAAGAAAGGGAGGAGGAAAGAAGGAAGAAAACATTAGGGGAGGAGAGAATATCATGAAGAAGGGGCCATGTCAGATCACCTGAAAGATTAAGTAAGGCAAACACTAAAGTGTCCTTCCTCTGGACTTGACCTCTAAACCTCCTTCAGGGATCTTGGGCCTCCGTCTTAGCAGTGACAGGGCAGAGGCAGGTAGTAGTGAGTGTCAGGAGAGAAAGTGGACTGAGCAGAGATGATAAAGTCAACAAACTTGGTTGTGGAGGACACAGAGACTGGACAGAGTTCCCAGGAAGAATTCAGAGACAGGAGAAGTGTTGGCTGAGAGAAAAGAATTCAGTAGCTTTTTTTTGAACCATATCAGAAATGTAGACTAGAGGAAAGGGATCACCTACTGAAATCACAAATTAATGATACTAACTCCGTATTCAGTTGGTAAACAGAGAAAGGAACATGTGACATCAAGTAGGTCTGTGCTGGTGGCACAAAGAGATAACACCATATGCTTTCGCCCAAATCTTCCTGCCTGCTCTGCCTATTCCTGATCTGCCAGTTCAGCCTCCAGGCCTGCCTCCTCCTCCATCCTGCCTTGCTAGCATAGGATCAGGGGTCAGGAAGAAGCGAAGAGGCAAAAATAGATTAATATACTATGAGATAATAGAAAATACATATGGGTCTCTGGCCCCACTTCCTGGCATAGAGCCCCTAAAACCCTTGTAATTTCCTAAGTGATAAGAGCACAGGGAGCATCTTTTGTCCTAATAACACAACTCTGGGCGGGGGGTGGGGGGGGTGCTCCCAGATGGCTCCTGAGTGAGGGCTAGTCACCAGAAAGACCATGCCATGATTAGAACTTAGAATTTTCAGCACCCCCACCCCAACCCCTCCATTCCTCCAGAGAGAGGAGAGGGGCTGGAAGCAGAGCATGTCTATGTGAGGAAGCCTCCATAAAAATCCCAGTAGCAGGGGTTTCAGGGAACTTCCAGGTGAGTGAACATATCCATGTACTGGGAGGGTGACAAATGCCAACTCCACAGGAACAGGCATTCCTAGGCTTGGGACCCTCCCAGACTATGCCCTTTGTGTCTCTGCATCTGGCTGTTCATCTGTATCTTTTATCATATCCTTTAATAAACTGGTAAATGAAAACAAATGTTTCCCAGAGTTCTTTAAGTCACTCTAGCAAAGCAGCTGCACCTGAGAAGCTGTGGGAACCTCTGATTTGTAGCTAAGTTGTAGAGAAGCTGTGGGTAACCTGGGGCCTTCCTACTTGTGACTGACACCTGAATGTGATGGAACAGGCTCATGGGACTGAGCCCTTAACCTGTGGGATCTGACGCCATCTCAAGGCAGACAGGACACCCAGCTGGTGTTGCAGAGTCGCCTGGTGAGGGAAAAACCCACACATCTGGTAACCACAAGTGTTAGAAGCCAAGTGTTCTGTGTGAATGTGGTAATAATACGAAAGTAGATGGAGAACTGAATTTTTTCCTTTACATACACACTCACACAAAATAGTATGTATGCCAGGTCTTTGCTGATGTGAACTGGCGTATATTCTATTTCTAGTGAAGTATCACGAAGAATCACCTCAAAGAAAAAGCAAAGATACAAAATATGAGCAGGAAGAAAAGAAGCAATATTTTCTCTTTCCCGTTGAGAGTAAGACCATTACTGAATTATATCCATGATTTCGCTCTTACCTGAATAACCATATATTTCAACAGTATTTGAAGAAAAAAGCATGTTTGGTCCTCAGCGATCTTTTCCCCTGATACGGCTGGTAGGAGTGGAGTGATTTCTTCTGGATATATCTTCGCTGCAGAGTGGAAAAAGTTACCCTCTATTAACTAACTGGCAAGTTTCTTGAAAACTCACAGGATACAAATGGTTGCCATTAATACTGCCATTAATACTCCCAGGAGGCCACTATTGTCCTCCCATGAATGCTGCATGAAAATACACAGCTGGGTGAGCAGATGAATGTCCACTCATGAAACAATCATGTGAGGACAATAAACAGTAGTTTTGGATGGCAGATTTAAATCTCATTAACAGCCACAAAAACACTCCAGACACACCATGTGTCTCTACTTCCTGCTATTGCCAACCTCTGTCCCCTCCCTTCCATTCCTGTTTCCACCACTTCAGTATATTTCTCCTGTCATCATTTCATATAAAATAGGCTCCGATTCTTTCAATTCTAACGTCTGTAAGACTTTACTGTGAATATGAGCAGGGAATAATTCCTCCTCTGAACCCATCTATGAAATAAAGATTTCTATTCAGGATAATGACAAACTAAGGAATCCCTCAATGTAACCTGAAGAGTCATTTCAACCGGTAAGGTCTGCTTAATGTTCCTCACCATCAGCCACACTAGGGCTAGGATTGATGAGTGTCTCCAGCGTACAGGGCCCTCTGGATGACATGATCGCTGGGAAACCAGGCACGAGGCAAGCAAAAATCAGCACCTGCTCTTCTGCACAGTTTGTCTGAAGTGCCTGAAGCCACAGAAGAAATAGCCTGATTCCTTCACATCTTATCTAAAAACAAAATTAAAGGTGACAAAATCAAACACATGTTTACGCAGAGATGCACTGCAATGCAGAATCAGTTCTGAGAAAGAAAAACTAGAAGTTAAAGGTACTGTTAAATTCCTGCACCTAGTTTTTAGTGACAAGGAAGCAGGCGTGCTGCATAAGCACAGGGTTAAGAGCTTGGGGTCTGGAGCCACAGTGCCTGGGTTCGAACGCAGGCTCTGCTGCTTGCTGGCTTAGCTGTGGCCAGTGGAGAACCACTGAACTTCTCTATGCATTAGTCTCCCCCTCTGTAAAATGGAGATGATAACAGAATTTACCACAAAGTACTGGTACAGGGTTAAGTGAGTTACAACAGTGCCCGTATCATCAACAGTCAGTTATCCACAAAAACAATGCAAAGATAATCTTCCTCCAAATTTACACTGTGCTTTGAATAGGGTTTTTGTCATGTCACTACAATATGCACATGTATAATGTAATGTTCCCAAAAAATCTTAGAGCTAAATAAGACCTTGAAGACCTGGCTCAATGGGACAGGGCAGCTCTCCAGGTTCCCTGCCTCATGTCCCTACTCTGCTTTCTCCAACAGCTTCCCTGCGCTCTGAACGACCAGCATGACTTGGTGGAATACATCGATTCGGGCAGATATACCCTTTTGTCCTCCTCTACACTTACTTTCAGCTCCATCCCATTCCTAGAATTTAGGTAAGTACTTCCGTTTCTATATTTCTAAATGGCTGAAAGGATCACAGGGATATAAGAAATTAAATAAGGAAATAAATGAAAAACATGTCAGATGAAGCTGAAAGATGCAGTGAGCTCCAAATGTAGGCAACTTAGGGACTGCCTGATCTTCTCTCAACTACACCAAGGTGGTGCAGATTCCTTAAGAGCAAGTGTTGAAGCCAAACATGAGGCTCTGCAGGCAAGCTGAAGGGCGAAGGGAGAGGGGATGGGAAAGGGGAAGGCAAAGGGGAATGGAAGGCAAAGGGGAAGAGAAGGCAGGGGAAAGCAAGGGAAGGGAAGGTGAAGGGGAGGGGAGGGGAGGGAAGGGAAGGCAAGGGAAAGAAAGGGAAGGGAAAGGGAAAGGAGAAGGGAAGGGAAGGCAAGGCAAGGGAAGGCAAGGGAGGGCAAGGCAAGGGAAGGGAAGGGAAAGGAAGGGAAGGCAAGGGAAGGGAAGGGAAGGCAAGGGAGGGAAAAAAGCTAGCTGGGCTGACTCCCCATAGAAGTCAAATACACCAAGACAGACACCCTGTCTGGAGACAGTTCTAGGCCATCAACAGTGGATTCCAGGACACACTCTCAGACATGCCTGGGGACACACCACTGCTGTGCACAAAGCTTCATGACCACTCACACCTGTCCTCCTCTCCCTAAGCAGGCAAAATAAGTGGTGACATTGCTAAATACAAGAGACCAAAAATGACATGGCTCTATGTATATCTAACCAAATTATATTAAATTTAACAGGAGGAAAGTTTCTACAAAATTCTATCACGTCTTCCAACTTTTTATGTTAACTGTATTTAAGTTAACAAAATATAAATAGGCCAATAATAAACATGAGGTCACAACCTGATAAATTTTAACTATAAGACTATTAATTAAAATAGGAGGGATAAGTAAGAAGTAGTGGTAAGGGGAGAGGAAAAGATGGCAGAGGAGTAGGGGACCCTATTCCAACTGGTTACCGGAATTGAGCTGAAGATCTACCAGACCACTCTGAACACCCACGAAATCAGCCTGAGATGTAAGAAGATCTGGATCTCTACAAACAGAATATTGCAGGCGGTTGGTTTCAAGGTAAGAAGCAGGGAGCCATGATTCCTCGGGCAGGTATCAGAGGATAAACGGCAGCAGAAGGGAGCCTGGCCGTGGGGATCCTACACCGCCGGTGAGCGATAGCCTCCCACGCTGGGGACCGAGCACAGACTCGCAGACCCGTAGTGGCGGGGAAAGGACTTTAGACAGAAACCTGAGCAGCGGGGTGGCGTGTGCGAACTGGGGGGCGGCTGGCGGTTTTAGAAGCACAAAGGGCAGAGATGTGCCCCGACCTGGAGGCAGGAATGGGAGCACTGCGGAGGGGTGCACAACCCAGGATGCTGCAGTTTATACCAGCACAGACAGAAACAGAGATAGTGTGGCCTGGAGAGCTCACTGAAGAACAGACTGCGATCTCTCTGCTCTGAGGCAGAGGGTTGGAAATGGTCTCTTCTGCTCTGACTC